GCAGACGGAGCTGGCCATAGCCAACACGGCGGACGCCTACGAGAGGAACGGCGTGGAGGCCGCGCTCTGCGAGGTGAGGCCGCGCTCCTCCCGGGAACCCTCCGCCTGCGCCGGGCGCTGCCGCAGCTCTGCCGCCCGGCCCCCGCTCCGCTTCCCTCTGTTTTGCTTTTGCCTTTCTGATCTTCTCCTCTTTCTGCTGCCGCAGCCGGAGGAGGTGGACGCAGCAGCGAAGGCCCCTCCGGGAGAAATGGCCCTCGTGGGTCAGGCAGAGCCAGCGCAGGCGGCCCCAGAGACGGAGCCTGCTGGGCACAGCAGCTCGCAGGTCTCTGAAGTGGAAATCCCCAGCGTGGGGAAGATTCTGGTTAGATCTGATGCAGATGGATATAATGAGGAGGTACAGAGCCCAGCGCAGGAGCTGCTTGCTGCCTCTCATTAACCTGTAACACTGCACTCGGGTGCCTTTGAGCTTTCCTAACTTCGGGAAGGATGGGAGCCTTTTTTTCCTGAAATCCTTCTGTTTTCTAAGCACATTTTCCTCTGCAGAAATAAGGAAGGCCAGAGCAAATCTTGTCGCAATGTCATCTCTAAACACCACCAGAAAAGTAGCTCTCTAAGAGCACTTAATCGTTACGTCTGCAGCTTGTTGCTTAAGTCATCTTTCTGCCATAGCTGTATCCAAGCTGCTCAGGGCTGTATGTCCTTACTGAGCAGGCTCTCCTCTTTTCTGTTAGAGGCTTGTCCTAAGAAGTGAGCGCTGAAACTTACAGCATTGTGAGTGTGCATGTCCAGCCCCGCTCAATGCCCACTGGAGCTTTGCTTTGTGGGTTGGTGGGTTCAGTCTCTTCACAAACCTACCTGCACTTCTCCCACAGAAGGGCTGAGCTCGCGGCTGCATGAGGCCGTTTCGTGCTTGCGTGCACGACGTTGGTGCGCACAGGCGCTGTGCTCTCTCTGGTCGCTTCAGAGGGCTGCATGGGGCACGCAGGGGATGTGATGAGTGTGCTGTGCTCCCAGCTATGGAGCGCGCAGTCTCCAGGCTCGCAATGCCACAGCGAGGCGTTGGAAGCAAACTGCACGGAGTGTGCATGCAGCAGGAGGAACGAGGAGTCCATGCTCGCTTATTGCACCTATACTCATAGCGTTTCCTGTATGCTTTTCCTTTGGACCTTTTCTTTCCCCCTTCCTTCACCATGCCTCTTCCTCTTCTCGTTCTGTCTGTCGTCGTTCTCCCTGTCCTCGTGCGTTTGCTGTCCTGCTCCTGTGGTAGGTGATGCTGAGTCCCGCCATGCAAGGGGTCATCCTGGCCATTGCGAAAGCCCGCCAGACCTTCGACCGCGATGGGTCTGAGGCCGGGCTCGTCAAGGTATCTCGCTTGTTTGCTACGTCCAGAGGTGGGAAAGTCAGAATGTGGCCTGTGCTGACGCGTCGGCACTGTGAGGGGAACGTTTCATGC